AGAACCCTCAAACTCCCAGGCCTCTGGTAGAGGACCTGAGATTAAGGAAGACACATACCACCCATAGGGGTGAGAGGGAATGTTTTGGATGTGTTCCATCCCATATTATGGTTAGGTTATGCTAGACCATTCTCAGAATGGCTGAATCACGAAGGTTCAGAACAGAATACTCTGGAGTTCCCTAGAATGTTCTGTCTCTGAAGACTGAATATTTTGCACATACCTAGTGATTAGTAACTGGCCTATAATAAGCCTTAAAAATAAATTAGCCGTTAACTATTTATTACTAGTTCTTTCACCTACCTTCACTGGAAGGATCACCAAGCCCAACATCATCTTGTTCCATAAACAGTTGGGAGCCAATTAAATACGGCAAAGGTCGATCAACGTAAAGATCCTGTAAAAAATAAATCATTTTAAATTTAAAGCCCAGTTTTTGAAGATTAAACTTCAAAGTATAACAATGTGCACAACTCTTCACTTGATGGTTAATTACCAATTCCCAAGATCTCAATTAGCTATCCACTGCATTACCAATAATGAATAAAAATGATCTCAAGGTAATCTGCAACTCATATTTTATTTCAATGGGATTCTCTTATCTCACCTTTTAAACTTGTATTAATGGAACTTTAAGGGTAGAAGGAAGAGTGGGCTTAAATGTTACACTAAGCCAAAAAAAAAAAAATCACATAGCATAGTGTATGTACCCAGCAATTGTTTTTGCAAACTATGTTTATGGCTTAGTGTTATGCATAAACCTGGCTCCTATGGTTTGTTAAATAAACCACTGCTAAAACAAACCATGGTATAGCATGTGTGAAGCTTGCCAAATATTCAGCATATGGGAGCTCTGTTCTCCTTCCAGACTTGACCCTGGCAGAAATCCATGCTCAGATTAACCAGCTAGAAAAGGCCTATTACTTTTGGAGCTACTGGCATAATTCTCCCCCTGTCCCTATGTCTTATTAATAATAGGTTAGAAGCATTAGGAAGGACTATATGAATTCTATCCTGGAATCAAAGGCATGTGGCTTTCATCACTCCCTATAACCAACCAGATGAGAAATATGCCTCCTAAATTTCTAGAAACACATCTTGCCCAGACTCTGAAATGAAGCTTCTCAGTAAATCTCTATTTCAAAAGGTGTTTGGAACAAAATTAAGTTTCTTTTGAAGGAGGGGGAGATTCACACATCAACATCCAAAGCAATGTTTATAATTCACACCAGCTATCCATTGGACATAAAAAGCAAAAGTACAAGAAGCAAACTACAAGATAATAAGCTGAAAACAAAAGGCTGGGAAGCCACCAACATTTTTCTGATCCACTGGAGGCATGAAACTGCAAACTGTATGCCCAGGGCCTCACATTAAAAACAAACCTTTAAGGCAGGCATGAGCAACCAATGAACACAAGGTTTTTGTGGAGCCCCTGGAACTCCTTGCCAAGAGGCACCACCAATCTGCTCATTCCACTCAGCATAACTTTCTGCTACTTCATTCACTATTATCAGCATTAAGTTTGTTATGAAATGTTAGCAACAAACCACTAATACTTCACAGAACCTCCTGTAATTATCCAGAATCGCAAGACAATAAAATTGGAGGAAAATTGTTTGGAACATTCCCCCCACCCATCTACCTTTACAGATACTTTCTTTAATAGTGTTAGGAACTGGATGAGATGGAAGCCTGTGGGATGTTTTTTTGTGGAACTGGTACAGACTACAAACAAAAAGTGAAGTTTTGTCTGCTACAAGGGAGGATTTATTGTATAGAAATAAATATTTCTTTACAAACAGAACTGAGGATATATCCACTTATTTCAAGGGTTTTCCTATAGCTCTTATCTATCTAGTTCTGATCATTCTTTTTCTATTTGATTATATATTTATTTCTTCATTTTATTTCTTTATATATTATTATTTGCTATGTATCTTCTTGTGTGAACCTACTATATGGCTTATTCTTATAGGTTTCTAAAAACATTTCCTCTCATCTCTCCTTTTTCTTATATGCAGGCTTGAATGGCCTACAATGTATTAATTACTAGAGCTTAGCTAGTCCTGTCTTTACCAACCCTTCAGCTGTCAAATGCAAATAAATTAATATTCTTTTCTTCTCAGCCTGGATCCTAAAAAGCCTTTAGTCCCCCAGGTTTGGCTGTCTGGTATTTTCTAGGCTTTTTGGCTACATATTTCTGGCCTAAGATGCTACTTGGTCATCTTTCAGTTTCTGATTGGCAGTGGGGAAGTTTGACATGGCTGCTGGGCTCTACAAATGCTCCTGATTCTCAGATCTAATATTCACAGAGTTCAGTCACTCATGCACAGCTCCTGCCTCTACAATGCCTCCAATCACCCTCTTCATGCTGCTCTGGTTTCCATGCACTCCCCAAGCTGGCTTTGTCCTGGGTATGTTTCTGGTTTGCTCGGCACTTGTCTGCAACATTTTCTTTCTCTCTGATACATACCAAGCCAATATCTATTCCCAACACACTAACATTCAGGTCTGGGAGGCTTCTCCTTTTGTAGCCAGAACACAACCATGCTCCAGCTAATTCGGCTACTTCAAAGTCCCAGATGGAAAGAAAAAGGAAACAAAGCCTTGTAAGACCTTTTTTCTTCTACAAAACCAGAAGATTTTTCTCCACATTGCTCCTGGGAAATTTAAGCTGCTCTGCTCATGCACTGTATTGACTACAGGTGGTCCTCGACCTATGACCATTTGGTCAGCGACCATTCCAAGTTACGACAGTGCTGAACAAATGGTGGTTACGACCAGTCCTCAGAGTTCTGGCCGTCCCAGCACCCTTGCAGTCATATGATCGCCATTTGCAACCTTCCCTGCCAGCTTCCCCAGAAAATCAATGTAAATCTCCTCCACCCGCACACTCTCCCCAGCCCCTCTGTACTTGCACTGTGCTGGTCACTTGTGCACCCTGGTGCACCCTCCCTCCCCAACCCTTGCCACACCTCCCTGCACTCCCACATACCCTCCCCAATCTGCAACCCCCGCACCCTCCCTGACCTGTGCCTCTCATGCACCCTCACTGACCTGCACACCTTCCCTGACCCTCCCCTGAACCCCCCTGAACCCCCTTGCTCCCTCCCCCACCTGGCAGCAACCACTTACCTGCCTATGGACCTGTGACTTGCAACTGCCTGCCGGCTTCCCCCTCGACTTTTGCTGTGGGGAGCCCGCCGGGAGGTGCCTCACCTCCAGACTGTGGGAATTACTTAACCAAAGAAAACCAGACACCAG